AAGGAGTTACACCACTGGAATCCTCTCCATATATGCTTTACTTTAGTTAACATGTTTGTGTATATATGCATATCGCCCTACAGGAAGCTGGAACAGATGCAAGGTGGGAGGAAGTAAGGGAGAGTTATAATATCAATGTACATATGTGAAAATGGAACTAGGTAAATTGAGGGAATGGATAGGATTGGGAGAGAGGAGGAGAATGAAGAAAGGGGTGACACATTAATATGCATTGTACTCACAAACTGACATGTTGAATTGAAACTACTTAAGGATAATAACTCCAAACAAAAGAAAGATTGTACCACACAGCATATGCTTCCATTTCATCATTATAAAAATTAGTCAAAAAGAGACAAACTCTCTTTGGCTTAATGGGAACAATAAATGAATGGATTAATGAAACATGGGTCTGCTAAGAGTTTATAATGAACATTCCATGTATTTTAAAACGTTAGAAACCACATTTCATATGTAGTTTTACTTTGTTTACCTTCAGGCTGCATGTACTTATTCTTTTTGAGCTGGTATGACCATCTTTTCCTGTCCTTGAACATCAGTGTCTGGTCCTCAGGACTATGGACCAGGGACCTACACAAGCTCTACCATTGATTTGCAGTCTTTTGGCTTCTCTTTGGGAGTTATCAGCTCATCTGGTACTCAATCCTTTAGATTTAGACGTAAGTATATCAATGGAATTCTTGTCTCACTTTCCACTCTCAGCTGGAATGTTGTGGAACTTCTTGGTCTCCATAATTACATGAGAAACTTTAGAAAATTAGAAAATTTAGGAATTATAGAAATTTTTCTATATGAGAGTGTAAACTTGTTCAACCACTTTGGAAAGTACTATGGAGGTTCCTCAAAAGATTCCACATAGAGCTCCCCTATGACCCAGCAATCCCACTTTTGGGCATTTACCCAAATGTTTACAAATAAGACCACACTAAAGCTACCAGCACAACTATGTTTATTGCAGCATTATTTACTATAGCTAAGATATGAAACCAACTCAGATGCCCCTCAGTAGATGAATGGATCAAGAAGATGTGGTATATATACACAATGGAATTCTATGCCTCCATCAGAAAGAATGACATTGCCCCATTTGTTAGGAAATGGAAAGACTTGGAAAAACTTACATTAAGTGAAGTAAGCCAGGCCCAAAGAAACATAGGTCCTATGGTTTCCCTTATTTGCAATATCTAGTATATGTCTAAGTTAAGCAGAAAAGGTCAGATAAGGTGATGTTAGGGAAATGAACCCTAAGATATGTATTCAAATGTTTTTTTTTCTTTCATGTGATTGTTTCTAACACATTTATAAGATTATCTTTGTTGCTTTGTATGTCCCTCCCCCACAGTATAACCCCTGCTTTCACTGTATTTGATGTCGGTATAATTTGTGGAGGGGAAGGGGAAAAACAAATCATTTAAATAGGGATACAGGTGGACCCATTGCAACAATGAGATGTACAAGTCGTTATGTCGAAAAACGAACTTTACAACTTTGGTGGGGGGGGGAGGGAGGTGGGGAAGATTGGGTGGGGGGGAGCGGGGGAGGGGGGAGGATGGGAAGGAATGGGAAGGGGAAACAAAGGAGGAGGCTACAATGCTTGATAAGAATTGTACTCATTATCTTGCCCATGTAATTGTAACCCCTCTGTACAGTATTTTCACAATAAAAAAAGAAATTTTTCTATAATAAATCCTTTCTTTTATATCTCTCTATATTTTATTGGTTCCAATTCCCCGGATAACCTCAACTAATATATAACCTCTAGTAAGGTTTAGGTAATATGTGGTAGCAGCTTTGATTGCTAAAATGATTTGAGAATAGGGCCACTATTGACTGACATTTAATGAGCAACACATAGAGGAATGCTAAATACTCTTCAGTATGTGAAAAGTTTTGTACATTCTTATACTCAGATGACTTGTAAGTTCCTCGCTAAAATGAAAAACGTGTTCATAATTAAACAGATCTAGAACTAAACACTGTCGTTTCCTACAAATAGAGTTTATGGCAAGCTGAGTGCTGGTGGCACACACCCGTAAGCCTAGCAGCTCTGAAGGCTGAGATCTGAGGATCTTGGTCCAAAGCCAGCCCCAGCAGAAAAGTTCCATATCAGGGGTCCTGAAGGCATCAATTTGCTTATTTATAGGCCAGATCCCAAAGAGCCCAAAGCACAGGGTTCCAAACCCACTATTTATGGAGCTTTAGAATCCCAGCATAGACAGTGGCAGAAAGACTTGGCATTTTCTCAAGAAAATAGATCTCTCAGATCTACAATCTTAAAAACCACCTAGCCAGGTTTGCCTTATTAATTCAACCACAAAATTGTGGCAAATAAAAATGAGGTTGTTCTTAAGTACATGAATAAATGTTAGAATGGTATGTTACATAGCAATAAATAAACATAAAAGAAATCTCAGACTCTGCACATGGTGAGTTAGTTATTTCATGAAGATTAGTGCACAATCTGAATGAAACTAGGTTTTTGTTGTTTGCCCTGATAATTGAGGTTACTGTTAGAATCCTAATTGTATGTCAAAACTGTAGCCTAGAATTGGTTCTTATAAAGGCGAATCAAGATGGCAGAGTAGTGACAGGGATTAACCTGCGCTCTCCCAGCTCAAACAGAGGAACAGGGCCTCTAGCACAGAACTCCACAACAAGCAAACTAGACCACATCAAACAAACTAGAAATAATCAGGGTTTGGCACTAACCGAGGAGATTCAAATTTAAGCTTGCTTCTACAAGAGGTGAAAAACACAGAAACCAAAGCAGGCACCCAGCATGGCGCTGCAGCTACTGGCTCCTGCTGGAGAAAGCCATGGAACTTTCTTTTCTCTTCTTCCTTCCCATTCCCCACTCCTTGTTTCCCGTGGCTCTCCTGTGGCCGCTCAACCTTACCAGCAGTGAGGCAACAGACAGCAACAACATACCTCCTCCTGTGGCTGAGTCTTGGAACTGGGTAAGGCAGCCTCAGCTGTACAGGCCTCGAACGCCATTTTCCGAGACAAAGGACTCCAGGAGATGACCAAGGCCGGGTCTCTAACCCGGGATGGACACAGGGGGCCTTGGGAATGGACTCACAGGGTCTCTGACCGGCAAGCAGACAAAAGCGGGGCCTCTAACTCGGGGAATGGACTTGGCGGGCCCTCTAACCCCAAGGAACGGTCTCTGCTGTTCTAATGCGGGAGAGTTCACGCAGTGGACCTCTAAACGCTCACAGTTGCTCCCCGCACACCACACAGGGCACAGGACGCTGCCCGTGCCTCGCTGGGCATCTGCGCCCAGCCTAACCACCTGTGCATCTCCCCAGAGGGACGCAGCTGGCCGACCACAGTGCCAGGGGCCTGTGCCCAACAGGGTGCAAAAGGCTACCAATGCAATCCCTGGACGGATCCTGTTGGCTCCTACAAGTAGGAGGAGCTCTAGGCCCCTTGGACAAAAAAGCCCAATCCTGTGCAATTCTGTGCTAGAAGCTCCCCCCAGCCCAAGCGCCAGAGGTTGCACCCAGACATCCCCAAAGGCCCACTGGGGCATCTCTACGTGGGACACCCACTCATGTCACCTTGAGTCTGTGCCTAGCCCTTCCCCCAAAGCACATAAGTCATTTCCTACGTGAAACGCGCTCCCCAGAGCTCCAGGGAACCAGCCAACCCCAGAAGCCTACCTGAAAATCCTGGCAAGTGAAGCCGATGACAACCCACAGCCCTGTGGTTCACACCTAACAGGGCACAAAAGCCTGCCTATGCATGCCCACACATGACATCATTAGATACAGTGCAGGAGACAGCATTCCGCTGGACCCAAAAGCCTGCCCACGCTTCTCCAAGGCACACCAACGGCACAGGGCCCACAAGAAGACCAGAAAACCACAGCCCACAGCCACTGCACCTAATACCTAATCTTAACGACCTCTGTAAACCTTGAACCCAGATGCATAAATCACAGCAAAAGATCACGAAATTCACGAGCAACCAAGACCATTCTACTCTCCAAAACCAACAACTCAAGGGAGAGTGAAGAAGAGAGGGCGAATAAAAGAACCATCAAAGCAATGATGAGAGATTTATTTGGCTGCACTAATCACAATAGCCAACATACAGTCCAGATACCCTCTAAGAGACGAGTGGATGAAAAATTGTAGTACTTATACACAATGGAGTATTACACGGCCATTAGAAAGAATAATATGATGCCATTTTCAAGGAAATGGATGGACTAGAACAAGTCACGTTAAGTGAGGTATGCTAAGCTCAGAGACATAAATGGTGCATACATTGGGAAATGATAAGTGATACAGGACTCTAGGTATTCACATGCAGTGAGACCAAAGGAGGATGCTTAGGGGAGGAACCCAAGGCGCCTCCAGTCATATAAAATGATATTTATTGAAATAAAAAAAAAGTTCTCATAAATCTGTCTTATGGAGGTTTTGCTGAAGCTTCTCTTTTCATCAAATATGATGTGAGACTCGTAAGTGGGATTCCAGCCAGAAGGATTCCTTCTCGAAGCTGCTTATCATTTACCTATTCTATATGCCAGAGAGCAGCAAAGCACCCTCTTTCCTTTGGTTAGATAGTGTTTGCTGAGACCTACAGAATCACTGATAAGGGCCGGGAAGGACTTTGCCAAAGGTAAACTTTCAGTCTCCTTTTATTTATCTTGTGACTTAAACCTGTTGTTTTTTTATGTTATTGAACACTAGGTGGTATTCTAAGTCCAAATATCCACTATAATTGAACTAGGAGCTCCATAGGTAAGGTGGTGAAGATTTTGGTAACTTAAAAGAAGTTCAAGTTGGACCGCCATGGAGGCGCTGGGCGCGACCGGGCCCTGCAGCTGTGGCGGGCCGCTTCCCGCGGCGCGGCCGGCTGCCGATTTATAGCAACTTCTCCTGCTGTTCAGCTGTCACCTACGGAACTGACAGAAATGCGGAATGAGCTGTTTAATAAAGAGAAAAACAGGCAGTTATCATTAACTCCCCGAACTGAAAAGATTGAAGTTAAATATGTTGGGAAAACCAACCCGGGTACCATCTTTGTGATGAATAAAAACATTTCAACTCCTTACAGTTGTGCCATGATTTAAGTGAGTGGTACTGCAAGAAATCCATTCTGGCTCTTGTGGATGGACAACCTTGGGACATGTATAAACCTTTGACCAAGTCCTGTGAAATTAAGTTTCTTACTTTCAAAGATCATGATCCGCAAGAAGTGAATAAGGCCTATTGGCGTTCTTGTGCCATGATAATGGGCTGTGTAATAGAAAGGGAATTCAAAGATGAGTATATGGTCAGCTTGGTCAGAGCCCCGGAAGTTCCTGTAATTGCTGGTGCCTTCTGCTATGATGTAGTTTTGGATAAGAAACTGGATGAGTGGATACCAACCAAAGAGAACCTATGTTCCTTCACAAAAGATGCATATACTTTAATATATAAAGATCTCCCATTTGAAACTCTGGAAGTTGAAGCAAAAGTGGCATTGGAAATATTTCAACACAACAAGTACAAAATAGACTTCATAGAAGAGAAGGCATCTGAGAACCCTGAGAGAATAATCAAGCTGCACAGAATTGGCGACTTCATTGATGTGAGTGAGGGCCCTCTTATTCCAAGAACAAAAACTTGTTTCCAATATGAAGTGTCTGCAGTTCACAATCTTCAGCACTCTCAGTCACCTCTTATACGAAGATTCCAGGGTCTGTCTTTACCCACTCACTTAAGAGTACAGTTTACAATATGGTCTAAATTATTGGAAAGATCTCGGAAAATGGTTACTGAAGATCGAACTAAACCAACAGAGGGCATTGCATCTACCTAATAACTTGCCAAAATTTAAATATATATAATAAATTAAAATAAAAGCTTTTAATACAAAAAAAAAGAAGTTCAAGTTAATGCAATTCAGTCTTACTTGGTGTTTTTGCTCATGGTGGTGCTCTATCACTTGAGTCATACCTCCAGTCCAGTATTTTACTGGTTAATTGAAGATGGTACGTCCCAGGTTTTTCTGCCCATTCAAGCTTCAAATTATGGAATCCCCTTGGTCTCTTGAGTAGTTAGGATTACAGGCCATTAGAGCCTTAGAATCCTTAGATTCTTTTGGACTCTTCTGTGCTTCTGAGAGAGAATAGACTATGTATGTAAGATATCAAGCTTTCACACCTGTCTTATTTTCTTACTGCTACTTAAATTACACCAATTGACCAGCTTAAGTAATTCAAACGTATTATCCTACTGTTCCAGAAAGTAGAAGTCTGAGTGAAATGAGGTTCACTGAACTAAACTCAAGGCATCGGCCTAGAGGATCTGTGAGAGGATCTATTTTCCTTACCTTTTCTAACCCTTAGAACTCACCTACATTCCCAGGTAGTGATTTCTTTTATCATTCCTTACAGCCACCAACAATCAGTGAGGTCTCAGACTACCCTGCTTTCCCTTCCACTTTCAAGGACTGCTATGATTATATTAGGCTGTTGATTATCAGACTTAGTTCTAATTGCAATCATCGTTTCTGCTTACTAGATAAGATTACATTCACAGGTTCTAGGAATTAGGATATGAAATACCTGCAGAAATCATTGTTCTGCTTATGACAGACTCCAAGGTGTGGCAAATTAGATTTTTCTGTTTATGTGAAGAATGACATTAGGATTTTGATGGGAATTACATTAAATTGGTATATTGATTTGGGTTATAGCTGTTTTCACAATATTGAGTCAATCCATACATGCAGGATAGGGAGGAAGGTCTTTCTTTCTTCTAGAGTCTTCTTTCATGTTTTATAGTTTTCCTTGTAGAGGTCTTTTTCCTCCTTACTTAAGTTTATTCATTGCTATTTCACTCTTTTTCTGGCTATTGTAAATGGAATTATTTTCTTGATCATTTTTCTCAACCTGTTCATTATTAGTATAGAAAAAAACTACTGTTGGGGGGGGTGTCCTGCTGATTTTGCATCTTGATCCATTTTCAAAAGGAATTATGAATAAACCACTACTGATATTTTGAAATCGCAAAATCATTTTATTTTGCCAGGTACCAATGGCTCATATTGATAATCCTAGCTAATCCAGAGGCTGAACTTGTGGAAATCATGGTTCAAAGACAGCCCAGACAGGAAAATTTGTGAGACTCTTTTCTCCAATTAATCACCAAAAAACTAGAAGTGGAGTTGTGGCTCCAGTGGTAAAGGGCTAGATCTGAGCAAAAACAGCTCAGGGACAGCACCCAGGCCCTGCATTCAAAAGCAAAAAGTCATTTTATCATATTGTCACCACACAAAAGACAGATAAATAAAACAGAAATGTTCATCACATCTGTTTATCCTGTAATGAAAATTCAGATAGCTTAGACCAGAAAAAAGTGTCCTTTTCTAAAAGAAGGGAATATGGGTAAAAAGTTACAATTATACTCAATTGCTCAATTTCATTCTCCCGAAATGTTCTTACATATGACATATAATCCAAATACTCGATTTTTACATTTTTCTTAGATATATGTTTAAATATCAGCTAAATTACTTAACAAAGACCATGATATGCTCAAATAAAAAATTACATCAATTTCATTAGAAAGCTACTGAAAAAGGATACATGCTTACATTTTTTATAACAACTCAAAGTTAATTATGCAAAGATGTCTGTCTACAGGCACTGTACACAGCAGAGACAAGATCAGGTTTGATGAATAGCTTTGTGGGTTCCTTATAAAGCTCAAAACACACAAAACTTTTGGTTGTTTAGGGAAGGACTGGAAAGGAGAGGAAATTTGCAGAATTCCATCTATGATTATAAATCAACAAGTTGTAAATGTCCCAAGGCATCTCATTGTGTGAATAAGTAATAAAGTGAACTACTCCAGAGGGGAACCCTGGGGAATATCTTGTTTGTATCACCTCTCAGGACACTAACCTTTTAAAAATTCCTCTTTGTAAAATGTTCAGATCTATGTCAGTGCTTGGAAAGAAAGTGTTCGCTTCAGCCAAAAATACATCAAGAATTTGAAATGGGATTTGCTGCAAATTCCAGTTATGCTCTAGCTGTCAAGAGAGAAGGCTGAGAACTACACAGGCCCCAACTCTATCAATATCTGTAGCTTATCTCTGGGTCTCTACTGTACTCTGTGTGAAAGCCACTCATCTCTAGATCCTATCTGTGGGGACAGACTCCTCCTTGGGCTCCAGGTAAGGAGGGCGATGCTGAAGGGACCAGCATCTTCCTGAAAGAAGAAAACAGGCCCCTCAAAACCCAGAAACCTTGAATCTATCCTGAGAGAAGAGCAAATCCTTATTTTTTACAGCCTTCCATCTCATTGAGAGATTATTTTCTTTTTCCTGTTTTCTCTAGAATCCTCAGCCCTAGAAGTTTTGCTACTGGATTCATAGGGCATCAATTTGGAAGCCAAGAGTCCCAAGAAACAACAGGTATCATTTTACTCAGTCTGGTAACCCAACTATCAGAATCTTCCTCCCCTCTGACCATTCAGTATTCAGCTCTTTAAATGCTGGTAAGTACCAGTGTTCTTCTTTCCCTTTTCTTATGATCTCTTCTTGGTGATACCTACTGGACCCATAATAGGGACCTGTCTATGTGAGATAGAGCTTCCTGCAATTGGCCACGTATTGCCTGGAACACAGTGCATCTTCATGCTGGCTATGTGGGCACCAGAAGCACAGCAACACAGTCCTTAGTGGAAAAGGACTGAAAATGGAAGATATGTTTCTCTTCTTATTGGAAGAATTGTCAATGATGTCCTCTTGCCTATACAAGTAACTCAAGTGATATTGCCAGTGCTTCTCTTTATCAAAGCATCAATCCACTCCAGGGAGATCATCTAGGTGGACCCGCATTAGCTCTATCTTCTAAAGTTCACACTATGCTTTATTTAGGATGAGTAGCACTTAGGAATATCTGAGTATATGCCAGGTCCTGTGTGTGAGGAAGACTCCATTTATTCCTACATGCATTCAGTAATTTATACATCCATTCAGCCAGAAAACATTTCCTAAAGCTTTACAACATACCAAGAGATGCAGATATATGCAGTAATAGTGATCAGCCTAATGAAATGCAGTCATTTCAGAGAGGAAGACTTTTAAACATATAGTCATGAATACTTAATAAATCCCTTTAAAAGCTTATTGTTACACACATAAGCCAACACCCACCACATTTTACATAGAAATAGGCACATTTCATTTCATAAAAACTTGGCATAATAAGTAGTGAAAACGTAATTGAGAATGTGATCAGCAAGGAGGATTTTACTGATAGCAATAGCTTTTGATAATGGCCTGTATAAGGAACACAATTTAAGCCGGGCACCGGTGGCTCACGCCTGTAATCCTAGCTACTCAGGAGGCTGAGATCTGAGGATCTCGGTTCAATGCCAGCCCCGGCAGGAAAGTCCATGAGACTCTTAGCTCCAATAAACCACTAGAAAACTGGAAGTGGCACTGTGGCACAAGAGGTAGGGCACTAGCCTTGAGCTGAAGAGCGCAGGGACAGTGCCCAGGCCCAGAGTTTCAAGCCCCACAACCAACAAAAAACAGAAAGGAACACAATTTACATGATAGCCAAGTCCATTCACACTTGCAAACACACATGAACATATCCAGTGAAACAAACATTTTCTTAAAACTATGCTTATATTGCTGCATAGTATTTTCTTTTCTTCTTCAACTTTAATAAATATTAGTGGAAAACCACTAATTCTGTTCAATTACCCATGACACATTATAAATCACAATTTTGAAGCACTTAAGGATGAGACTGTTTTGGCTATCTTTGAGCCTTTTGTGTCATCTCAAACTCAAGTGAAAGGGAAGGCTTTCCCTTTGATTTTTTCAATCCTTCAAAGTAGTCTCTGACTCTATCTTCCTGGTCATTCAAAAGCAATGCATATCCCAGCAAAGTAAGCTAGATTCAATTGAGACCCAATCTGGATAGATTTTTTTTCACTTGTGCTGATCCTAGGGCTTGAACTCAGAGTCTGAGTGCTGCTTCTGAGCTGTTTTTGGTCAAGGCTAGCACTCTACCGTTTGAGGGACAGGTCCACTTATGGCTCTTTGAAATTAATTGCAAGTAAGAGTTTCATGCCCAGGCTAGATTTGAACCATGATCCTCAGATATCAGCCCCCTTAGTAGCTGGGATTACAGGCATTAACCACTGGCAGCTGGCTATAGATGGAATTTCTTCAAGAGAAATCCTCACTTGATGAGGGCAAACAGGTTGATGAGACAAACAGGTTCTGGTCTCCTCAATTGCCTGCTAAACATAGGGTCTTATGTGTAAATAAGCTCTTATGTGTTGGCAGTCTTGCAATTTTCCCCTCTCAAGGTGGTCCTTCAGGAGGGTTAACTTGCACCTCTGATACTACCTTATTCTAAAGAACAGTTCTAATACTAGTGCTTCAGTCCTGCTCAGGGACAACACTCCAGGTGTGAGGCCCAGCCACTGTTACTTTCCCTAATTCTTTCTCATCTTCCTATCCATTAGATTGGATCCAGTCATCATAATCTTTATTTGTTGCAGATATACACCAAATCATAGATTTTTGGTTAGTGTTTCCTTCCTGGCTTTAGAGCATCAGACCAGTACTTGATTTTCTACTAAAGTATCTATCCTTCTGTTTGGATATTCTGAGTCAAACTGCAGCATGAATGAAGTCAGACACTATTATGTCAGATAAAACACTTTCAATATTCCATTATTGTATCTGTATTTGGTCTTTATGAAGGGCTACTATAGCATGTGGTGCTGTTTAAGGTTAGCCACATTTTTCTTCTTTTGTAGACATAAGAGTCCTTTCCGTCTTACTCATCACTGACCGCATCATAATTAAGGGTTGTTTCCTGTGATCCAATGAAGAATTTCA